GCCACGGTCATCCGAGGGAAAACTCTATGGTTTTCCCTCGGATGGCCGTGGCCCTGCCCCCAGCGTGCCCGGCGTCGTCATGCACTTCCGGGTGATGTGTGCGCGGCGCGGGAGTCCCCCGATAAGGAGATATTTCGACTTGGCAAGCCTACTCACAACATACAATAAAACAATTAAAAAACAATCCATAAAAACACCATTCATTTCCTGTACGTAAATTAGTTGGTTAAAATAATAACTGATGGCAGCTGTAGGTTTCCTAACAACATTGTTAAAGTTCCCAGGCCAGTTCAGAGAACACAAAGTTATAATAACACAATGCAAAACGAAATGGCCAGGTCAAGCTGTCTGCCAAGCAGTGCCTTCAAAACGCTCTCAGTGTTGGACAGCAATTCTACATCCAATGTTGGGGGTTGGGGCATAATGACATTTGGGGGTAGCATCCAATTTGGAGCAAAAAGTCTGCTTGTATCTATCAGATGCAACTTTTCAGTAAACCAGAATGCTGGCTATTTTCAACGAGGGCAGGTGTTGCCCTGAATTTCATGATAACTGGGTAAACAGCATACCAGGCACAAAAAGGGCAGATCTGCTAAATACCAGAAGCAGGTTTTATCACAAAGGTTTAAGGGAAGAGACGAACCGAGGTGGCTGGCCATTGCCTTCCCTGGCCTTCCCATCCAAATACTAACCAACAGGGCTTTTTTTTGTCGAAAAAGCCCAGCAGGAACTCATTAGCATAATAGGCCACACCCAACAGCAGAAATTCATTTGCTTATTAGGACACACCCCTGACAGCACAGCTCATTAGCCTATTAGGCCACACACCCCATGTTCGCAGAAGTGTGGTCATCCAGACACACTCACCTTTTGCTTCTTATTCTGTTTACCTTGTTTGTTGTCAAAAACCCAGGGCTTTTTTATAGCAGGAACTCCTTTCCATGTTAGGCCACACACCCCTAATGTAGCCAGTCCTAATGAGTTTCTGCTGTTGGGTGTGGCCTATTATGCTAATGAGTTCCTGCTGGGTGTGGCCAACTCAGGAGCCAGCCGGAACTCCGCTCCTGTGCGTTCCTGCCCAAAAATAGCCCTGCTAACCAAGGCCAACCCGGTTCAGCGTCCAGTACCTGATGAGATCCAGCTATCCTGGCCTACCCAGGTCAGGGTGTGCCAAGCCCACAGAGCAGATGGATTCCCAGTGACAGACTCCAAACTCACCACATATAAGTGCAAGAATTCTGCCGCAAATGTGGCCCCTGATGAGAAAGAGGCTCTCTCTGGTACAGGCAATGCACAGAAGCTACATGCATAATACGGGGACGGCTAGCCACAAACGAAACAGGCAGAGGGTGTGGGCAAGCAGATAGAACCTCGCTCGCTGAAGAGACCTAAAGCAGTTGCTCTCTGATAAAGAGCACACAAGAGGAGATAAGCGCTTCACAGCGCCAAGGAAGCTTTTAGTTTTGCTGTTGACTTGTCAAGAGTGCACGGAAGGACACGGCAGCTCCCCACACAACCAGGAGACGAGGACCATTGCCGGGTATGATGAAATAACACCCCCCCCCCCGCACACACTTGGTAGTTCCCCCTGCAAGCTGTCCTCCATCTAGGGTTGCCAGGACCCCCTGGCCACCGGTGGGGGATATGGGGTAGTGTTGCCAGATCCAGGAGAGGAAACTCCTGGAGTTTTGAGGATGGAGCCTGGGGAGGACAGGGACCTCAGTGGGGTGCAACGCCAAAGAGTCCACCCTCCAAAGCATCCATTTTCTCCAAGGGAACTGATATCTGTAGTCTGGAGAGGAGCTGTAATTCCCAGGTCCCACCTAGAGACAGTCATTTGTCCCAGCATTTGGTTTATATGGGGATGGAAGCTTTGGTTTCCCTCATTATATATGTCTCCTTTCTCACTTTAACCTTTTAGAAATCTCCTTCTCCTCTGCTCTTGTCTCCTTTCTACCCGGGAGCCCTCTGCCAGTTGAATTTCTGCCTTCTGGGCAGCTGTTAAAGGGACAGGACTCGATAATGACATCCCTGCCTTTTTTCTGTGGTTGTCCCTTCCCCTGTAGTGGAAGTCCTCCTTAACCCCAGATGCAAGGGGAGAGAGGGAGCTCGTTGCACTTACAGAATGGGGAAGGACATGCCCTCTGCATAAGCTCAGAGAAACTGCTTCTTATTTTTGCACACATCCCAGGGCTCATTCCTGGCACTGGAAAAAAAATAAGTCCTGGGGCTAGCCCTCGGCAGTCTCCACTACAGATGGTGCCAGCGACCCCACCTGGATTTGGGCTCAAGGCCTCAGGCCTCCACCCCATCATCAGGACTGGTGGAATTGAGGATGTTGCCACCCCCAAAGCCACTTCCTTTTTGAATCTAACGGTTGCGTCTTTTTTTCCTCTCTCTCACTATTTCTCCACCATTGCCACCTTCTCAGTATCATTCACTCCCTCTTGCTTGGTCAAGCAAAAATCTGGGGAGGAGGAGGAGGAGGAGAAGAAGGCCACACTGAGGCGTCGAGGATCACAACACAAGAAGCTCCCCTCAAAGGCAGGGATTTGACCCGCCCTGGGCTGAAGCCATCCTAGAAAAAGGTAGAAGGAAGGGGTATGTGGGATGGGAAGAGCTTATTGGGCAATAAATAAAACTGAGGAACTTTGTGAGGAGAAAGGGACTTGGACTGGTCAGACCTGAGGTCCGTAGAGAGAGAGATTTGCAGAACTCGGAAAAATGAGGAATCATAAGAGGCAGGGATAAGTTGCTGGGGCGGGGAGGACTTATACGTTATCCACAGAGGTACCCGTAGACTTCCCACTTTTTTTCTGCCAAGGCTCCAGAGTTTCTAGCAGATGTGTGACAGGCAGAAATACAACAGGTACATCATACCTCCTAAACTACACCTCTGTGGCCAAGGAAAAATTGTATTTCTGTATTTCTGCTGCTGGCCGGGCATCTATTAATGAGGAGAGGTACCAGACCACTCCCAGTGACCACCTGCCACTCCCCGCCCAGACCCCAGCAGCAGCCTTCGCTCCTGCGGCTTCACAGAAGGGGAAAGGGACCGACTAAAGTCCTTCACGCTGGATGGCCTGGCTCAAACATCTCCTGCTCCTAATATTTGTTTTGTCGTGGATGTGGAAAGTGGCGGCCCTTCATGGGGTGTTCGAGGCAAGAGTGTTCGGGGG